ATGGGTGAGAGAATGAGTATATATGGAGAGAAAAATAAAGGGAGGAAAAGACGTAAGAAAGAGGAAGATACAGAGAGAGAAAGAAAAAAAATAGAGAGAAACATACGCAAAAAAGATATAGAAAATAGAGAGATCAAGACATAGGGAATGAAAGAGGGAAAGAGATAATGAAAAATTGAGAGAGAAAGAAAATAGAGGGAGAGAAAGAACGAGCAAGAAAGGTAGCGGAGCGAGAAATGCCATGCAATATATGGAGAGAGATAAAAAGAAAGGAATAGATAGATAGATAGATAGATAGATAGATAGATAGATAGATAGATAGATAGATAGATAGATAGATAGATAGATAGATAGATAGATAGATAGATAGATAGATAGATAGATAGATAGATAGATAGATAGATAGATAGATAGATAGATAGATAGATAGATAGATAGATAGATAGATAGATAGATAGATAGATAGATAGATATGAGTGATTGGGAAAGTACGGAAGAACTTTTAAAAAACAGTTCGCTTGAGTTAATTTATTTCGTTACTATAGTAACAGTCCAAAAACGTAACTCGACGCATTACTCGTTACGACGAAGCAATCAATTACCATAACTTCATTGCTGCCAAGTCTGAAACAACCCGATCGACCTTGGTTGTAGCGAATAGAATAAATGACTACAGGAGCAACGCTTAAACATGGTGGCAACAACACACACCTCGTTGGTTCACCTCGCCCACTTGTTCTTTCTACAACAACGGACTCGGTGGACCTACAACATTATTTCATGAATTTAAAGGGGCCGTGAAACGAAAATGAAACTTCCCGGTTGCAAGTTTCGCTGATTTATTAAGGATTGAAGATACCGATTCCGAAATATTTCGGCACAATATCCCTTCTGTAATTAATGACGCCCGTTCGAAATCGCAGTTTTTTTTTTTTTTGATCGCTAGCGACTATGCGCGACCGTCGGTCGCTATAAGCACTAAAATGTGACGTCAGTGATACGTCATCTTGAGAAAAGCTAAAAAACAGAGCGATAGCTTTACTTCGCTCTAAAGTAATATAATTATAGGATAATAAAAAACAACAGAGTTGTTTTTGCGCTCTGAGTTGCAAGCTGTACAGAGATTGCAGACACACATGCACGTGTGTTTGCAATCGAGACGCATTCTCGGAGGTTTCAGCTGCGAGGGTTATTAAACGAAACGGGAACAAAACTCAATTAAAGAAACGTGCACGCACCAAAAGCGTGCAGCCGTTTTTTTTTTTTTTTTTTTTGTATGTGCACATGCACTGCCCCGACCGGGCGTTCCGTGCGAGAAAAAAGGCTTCGGCCACGCTCGTCACGCCCCAACGCCCACAGGTGTCGCCGCCATCGTCGTGAAGCTTTCTGCCTTGCTTTATGTCTTTTGTTTGCAATCTCTGTTTGCCGGTTGCTGCATATACCTTTTCGGTGCCTGCCGTGGCACATGCGATGCCTTGTGTACCGTTGGGGGGGCCTGTTATCGGTGCCCTACCGTTGTATTCGCCCGGTTGCTGGAGCCGCCATGCACTTGCGGACGAGCACCGCTGTACATAAGTGTGTGCCTTCTGTATTGACGCATCGCGCCTCTGTGAGCGTTTTTGTAGAAACGCACACACAGGAGGCACGGTGCGCTTGACTGAAAAAAAAAAGAAGAAAAGAGGCGTGATTGCCGCTTATATGTTTTGACACTCGGTCGAAAATTTTTCGTTTCTCCAGACGCGGGTTCTCAAGAGGAGAGGAGTCTGACATCGAGATGTTGATTGATCGATCGATATATGCTGATGATAATGATAAGGGGGGTGGTGGTGATGGTGTTGAGTGCACTGACTCTGACGATCAGTGATGTCGATGTATTAAACTCGTTCACGTTAGGTGAAGGTGAAGGAAGTAGCAGTTCGCAGATAAAATTTCGTGAGACTGTTTCCTGCCCGAAGTCTATGTCACACACATAAATTTTCAAGGCGTTTAGGGATCTTCAAAGCCCAGTGGAAGTGAAACATTTTTTTTTTTGCAACGTGGTCTAATCATTTACCCATCTCTATAGACGCTGCGAACATTGCCTATCTATCTATCTATCTATCTATCTATCTATCTATCTATCTATCTATCTATCTATCTATCTATCTATCTATCTATCTATCTATCTATCTATCTATCTATCTATCTATCTGTCTGTCTGTCTGTCTGTCTGTCTGTCTGTCTGTCTGTCTGTCCAATGACATCTTCATCCTGGTTCACATGTTATACTTTAAGGCAAGTTTCTATTGAAGCATGACATCTGTCTTTGGATGTGTATTAAAGTATGCTGAAACACATAGATAAGAGGTCTTATAATGACTTATTTTTCTATTGATGAGTTTGATTGATTGACACGTGGGGTTTAACGTCTGAAAACCACCATACGATTATGACAGACGCCGTAGAGGAGGGCTCCGGAAATTATGATATGACCACCTGTGGTTCTTCAACGTGCACCCAAATCTGAGCACACGGGTCTACAGCATTTCCGCCCCCATTGAAATTACAGCCGCCGCATTTGGGATTCGATCCCGCGACCAGCGGGTCAGCAGCCGAGTCACCTTAGCCACTAGACCACCGCGGCGGGGCATGGCATTTTCTCCGAATGTGTATCAAAGAATGCTAAAACACACTCATCAGAGGCCTAAAAAAGAATGAATTATTTTTTAAACGATCCTTACATAAGCATTCTTCTAAAAGCCATCCATGGCACTGTTCAGGACTGCTCCAAGTGTAAAAGGCACTGCATGGTACTGCTCAGTGAGAGAGAGAGGAGGGATGGAAGAGAGAGAGAGAAAGTTAACACGTGTTTCTCAGTGCGGGCTGCAACAAATTCAAAAGAGGCCGCTCCAAAACAATTCGCCGCCGATCCCAGGCGGCTCGGATTCATTTCGCCGTTTCGTGCTCCCTTCGAAGCGTGAGGCGACGCCTTCGTGGGACGAGAACGCGCCATGCCACGTGCAAAGCTACCGTGACGAAGCTCGATCGTGACGGACCGAACGAATGATATTAAAGACAAAACAAAACAAACAGCTCGTATTTCTCTCTGGCCCCTTTGGGTATACTTCCTGCGTCGGTCAATATCGCTTGTAGATGTTTTGCAGCTGCCGTTAAACACTTGCCTAGAAGCGGGCTGCGTCGCTGTATATTCTATGCACGTGCATACAGTGTTAGGTTTGTTTGTTGTTCTCTCGTGTATATAAAGGACAGTCGCGTTTCGTCACGAGCGCCGATCGACGGTGCGAAAAAAAAAAAATCTGCGCCTCGTCGTTCACACGTGCGACACGGGTCGGCGAACCGCGGCCGAAATCACGACGCCCGTCGGAACGCGACGCTACGGAGCGCTTTTCGGACCCTTTTAAAAGTGCGCTTTGCCGTGGCGAGCGGGCGAAAATTTTTCCCGTGTGAACGTCGATTCGTCCTCTCCGATTGCGTCGGCACGTCGAGCGCGCGCTTCATTGCGCACGAAACACGCAGCTGTATAGTCCGGGACTCTTTGCCGTCCACTGCGGCGGTGTAGCGGGTGCGGTGATATGGAGCTATACACCTTTTCACAGGAAGGAAAAAAACACCGCCATGATGGGCTGTGCGTGGGAGTACAAAGGCTAAGGGCGCAGCGTTGTCAGTGCATTTTTGAAGGGGACGCGCCAATTTGCACAGTCCAAGGAGGGCTATGGCGGCGCCCAGGGAGGCGTTTATATAAGAAAAGGTGAATAGGCTGATGACGCGATGGTCGTGGGTTCGATATAGTCCGTAGCGTTCGTATTTCGACGGAGGCGAAACGCTAGTGGCCTGTGTGCTGTGCAGTGTCGGTGCAAGGTGAGGAACACCAGATTGTCGAAACTTCCAGAGCGCTTCCCTACGACGTGCCACATAACCATATATCGTGGTTTACGGGCGTAAAACCACGGATATTGTTTTTGTTTTATTTATTTAAAGATCCTTTGACCATATGTCGTCCTCTGCGTCAGAGAGATATCCCTTAGACCGGGCAATTAGTTTTCGTTGGGCGTCAGATTACGGACGCTTAACGTTTCTTAATGTCTCGAGAAACGACTATGGCAAGTGCGAAGAGTGGGGGAGCAGCGCTATTCGATGACCTGAGGTGGCGTCACATTGGCCCCATCTTTACACAGATATGTTCCATTAATGTTTACGCTGTGCTGAATAGACTTCTTGACGGTAATGGTGGCCGAGGGCCCCCGACGTCGATTTCCAACTTCCAAGAGCTATTTACTTCCAAAGGTTTAGCCCCTGAAACCCGGGAATCAAAGGCCTTGAACATATTGAAAACAGGGTTCTCTTATCAGGACCTTTAACAACTATTGCCAGCTAGCTCTGCTATAAGATCTGATACAGACCAAAAGCAGGCCGTTGTGTGAAACACGTCAACTCTACGTTTTCATTTTCGAACCCACTGCAAAATCTATTCATTATTGCTTTCTTTCGAACTCAAGAAGGATGAGGATGAGGAACAAAGTGTTCGAAAGGGGTGAGGGGAGGTGGCTGAGGCAGAACTCCGCACGCCCCACCCACTGACCTCCACTAGGGGAGTGGAGATCAGTGGCCCCACCCTCCACGGCCGCCCTATATGGAAAAATATTCAAACGCGTTTGGGCACTTATAGTTCAGATAACGAATACAAACAAGAGAGAATACATGAAATTATCTTATTTTTGTGTACATACAGGATTCCACGGGACGACGTGGCGTAAGCTATACTGCTCTCAAAGTATTCTTTATTTGGACACACCAGTTAGTACCTTCAAATATGAATAGCCAACTCGCCCACCTGCAAGTTTTACTGAACGTCATCACTCGGTACAAGCCAAAGTGCTCTGTCTTATACGGAGACTTGCACAAGCCAGACATATCAAGTTTAATAAAAAACAAACGAAACGTATATAAATAGGGGGCCCTTTTAGTGCTTCCGCCTAAGACAATCACACGTCCTGGCGCAGATCCTCCAAAGGTGCAGCCTTTCCAGTTCCCGAGTCGGCCCCAGTTGGGCAAGCGTCTACGCATCACGTGCTCGGTGACACAGGGCGACTCGCCACTAAGCTTCGCCTGGCTCAAGGACGACGTCGAGCTGACGGCTTCTTCCTCCGACGGCGTCGACGATCACCACCCGGTCTCCCTGGACTCCGGGCCCGAGAGCTCGGTGCTCGTGCTCAAGCGTCTGGGCGTCGACGACATCGGAAATTACACGTGCGTCGTCTCCAACGCGGCGGGCACCGACAAGTTCCAGGCATTCCTGAGGTTCCCAGGTGATAAGAGAGAGAGAGAGAAGCTTGCCGGGTTACTCTGCACGTTTCTTTGTCTTGGCAACACGCCTTTTGTGTACATACTCCGCGTAAAAAAAAAACAACGAGAAATACGCGCTGGACGTGGCGATTGAAAAGTTCATAGAGAACTGAACAGAGGTCGTCTTGAGGGCCGAGGCATAGAGTTTGTTTACAGCTAGTGCGATAAAGTTGAGAGCTGCAGGGACTAGTTGGTGACTGGCCATTAAACAGTAAGGTGAAGTAGCGCTCTTTTTGACAGGGGCAAAGTGGACAAGAAGGACATAATACTCACTACACTCGCAACTATAAACTTATTTCAGAAAAAGAATGCTTCGTCTATAAGCAAATAATAATGTACCTTTTGGTGCGAAATAAACACGTAACACGAACAAGCGCAATCCGTCTTTCGCGTTTAAGCCCCCCCCCCCCTCTTCGAGCGACACAGAAATGAAATAACAGTCAATGAAAAACTTATCAGCGCTCGTCTGTGTTCTGTGTGTCTCCTTGGTTTTTTTGTCTAAATCGCGCTGAAGCCTATCCGAGTATATCTAATAGCATATTTTGCGCACTAAACGATAGAATAATCCCCGCAAGTGTATACAAATGAGCTCAACAGTCCATGCATTCTTATCGATGAAGCAAGTTTTTCGCAAACACTCAAGGAATAAAAGACGGAGTATGTGCAGCCTACACACTTCGAATAATGATAATAATGATGATGATGATGATAATAATAATAATAATAATAATAATAATAATAATAATAATAATAATAATATAATAATAATAATAATAATAATAATAATAATAATAATAATAATAATAATAATAAAGCCTAAAAATGTACGGTTGGGGGAAAATATTTCAAAGACGTTCATGTATAGAAACACTGCATCGCTTTTAGGCTGATACCTCGCCCCGCACACCCGCCGTCGCAGTGCCACCTTTCTGGAAGCGTGAGCCGGAGCCCGTGCAGGCCGTGCGGGGCGAACGTGCCGTCCTGTCGTGCGAGGCCGGTGGATACCCGGAGCCGCAGGTGACCTGGAAGAGGCGACACGGTCAGTACCGGACAGCAGCGTTCTTCTTGTGGTGTGCCCTTATCAGCGAGCGCATCTATCTATCTATCTATCTATCTATCTATCTATCTATCTATCTATCTATCTATCTATCTATCTATCTATCTATCTATCTATTTATCTATCTATCTATCTATCTATCTATCTATCTATCTATCTATCTATCTATCTGTCTATCTGTCTATCTATCTATCTATCTATCTATCTATCTATCTATCTATCTATCTATCTATCTATCTGTCTATCTATTTTATTTCCGAGAGTGTGGCATATTAGTCCGTGGCGTAAGAATATATGATTCCAAATTTCGTGCTTTGGGTACTCCCACGATCCGGAGCGATGGAATGGCCCGAGGATAAAAAGCAATGTCATTCGATACATATGCAGTGTAGCTGCATCACGCGAGTTTTATCATTCGCATAGTTTTTTTCAGTTTGACTGTTTCATAAGAAGGTGACTTGATGAAGTAGACGGGCGCTGTAGTTACGTAATGTGTTCTCTACGCGGCACACTGCGAACGGAACAGCCCTCGAGGCGTTACGTCAGGCCACGTGTAGTCGAATCCCGAAAGCCCGCGGTCTCCGAGAAACGGCAGACGAGGCATGACGTAGCGAGTAAGGAGAGTTCGCGTATAGCGAAGCGTGCCTACAGCGAAGAGGCACTCCTCCTCCTCCTCCTCCTCCTCCTCCCGTTCTTGTGTCGGGTTTCCCGTCGTCGTTAAATCAAAATCAAATCAAATAATCAGTTTATTATCATGTCATAAAAGGATGTTACAGGGAGTAAAATATACAGACGAGGGTCCCAAAGTACAAGACTGCAACGGGACACTCGCTAGGCTAGGGTTCTTTGCGGGACTATCGGCGCCCTCTGTATCCTTTGCAGAGTCCCCGACACCGGCGCCCTCTGTATCCTCCCAGTGGCGGACACACCCAACTTGTAGGCACGCGGTCGCTTCCGTTCGTCCCATTTCGAGTGCCTCTTGTCGCGTACGCGCTGCTGTGGAGTACCGAGCCGCCGCCCGTGGAGGGAGAAGTCCTTCGTAGTCACTTGGTCGTCTCGGCCGAGCGCAGCGACCAGCCATGTTTGACCGCAGAATGGCCTTGACTTCTATGCTACGTCGCTTTTAGGAGCTAGGTGCGGTGTGCGCGAGTGTTTGCGACGAGCCCTTTCGCTAGAACCAATGCCTAACGACACACCTTTGGGAGGCTCAAATTTATTCATCTTCAGAGTTTGATCGCAATAGCGGGCGGTATTGTTAAAACTTTAAAAACAAAAGGAGAAAGTGTCGGTCTGCAGTAGGAGAAACAAGGGATGCTTCACCCGTGAGCCAACAAGGGTGACTTGCACTCGCCGCTGCGTAATATAAGAGAAGTGGAAAAGGCACTGAAGAAACCGCAAACGTACCAGGGTGACAGCGCCACATCTTGCGAGGGAAGGTGGCGTTATTGATGTCTAATAAACCCGGTGGTTTCATCTTACGTAATAATACGCTATATCCAAGGACGAAGAGTAGGTTACGAAATTAAAATGAAAAAAAATGTTACTCATGTCAGCTGTCGCTTCAACAACGTGGTTGTCAGGTATACATGCTATGTCAAACAAACAACCCAACAAAAGAAACAATGGTAATGCGAAAGTTGAATAAATGAAGCAGTGGACCAGCTAACGGTCCAGCGACATGTTTGTGTAAGATCGTTGTGAAATGTACTCCACGTGGCAAAAAAAAGAAGGAATGTTTGTTATAAGAGATAATTCACTGAACGACCATCAGAATGCCAACGAATTCATCTCCTGGTACAACGACAGACTTGCTTTTGCTGCGAAGATTGCGATGAGCAAGTTCCGTACTAACTGAGGTTTCGCTTTGATGCGAAACAGCTGTCAGCCCGGCTCATTAAAGGACCATATGGTAAGGAAGCAACGTGAAGAGCTGCCTAAAGAAGGCACTGTCAGCTTCCTGTCTAGCAGAAAGAAAGAAAGAAAGAAGAAAGAAAGAAAGAAAGAAAGAAAGAAGAAAGAAAGAAAGAAAGAAAGAAAGAAAGAAAGAAAGAAAGAAAGAAAGAAAGAAAGAAAGAAAACAGCGCTAGTCAGACAATCTGAAGCAAAAAGGTAGAAATAATGAGAGTTTTGTTCTTTCCCATCGATTACAACGGCGCAAGACTGAAAATCATTTCTCTCACCAACTCCCTTCCCGTTTCTCTCTCTTTCCTTCTAAAAAAAAAAAAAAGAAGCTCTGTTATAGCCGCATCGCTTTGTCTGTTCTTACTTGAAGCGCAGGCGCGCGTTCTTACGTGTATAACCCTATCCCGCATGTGAACCCCTTCCCCGCCCGGCGAAATCCGATTCTCGTGAGAAACACTCATGGGCGCCGTACAAAGCTTCTTCGTGGGTGGCAAGGGTACACTGTAACTAGGGCGAGGGTCTGAAGATGACGACGACGCTTGACGAAGACGCTTTGATGACCTTGGGATCGGGAAGCCGACTGACGACGCCGCCGGCGCCACCGCACAACCGCTGTTTGAACTTTTTGAAGTGAGAGAGGTGCGACAGCCATTATTACGTATACATACTTACGAAATGTTGTATAGGACCCACGTGCGCTGTTCGCATGCTGTCCCCTAATTGCGCACGGCTGCGAGATGGTTTGTTTCGCGATGTTTACGTGCGGCGCTGGCGGCGGCGTGAGCGGGTCTTTTATGGCGCGATCGAAAGGGGACGTTTGCTAATCACCGCTGATTTGGCAAGCTACACGAACGACGGGTGCCGGTTTCCTTTGAGCAACGCCTCGTTCCTACTTTCCCACGCATTTCCTTGACCCTGACCTGTCCAGCCAACGCTAGTTTTGGCTGCGTGTCGGTTTAAGTTGTGGTAAGTATCGACAAATGCGTTCTATATAGTGTCAGCTATCTGCTGTTGAAACTGCCGCATTTTCTTCAATCAACCTCAACCCTGTCATGTCTCCGCACATATATAAATATGGTAGCTTGACGTAGGTTAGTTGGTGTGACGTACGTAATGAATACGCTGCGCCCGAAGACAAAGACAAGAGGGAAACACAACTGACAATCACAGTTCATTCTTGTCTTCACATTTTTTGCGCGGTGTGTACATAAATTGACTTGGGCGTCTCTCATAATCATATGGTGGTTTTGGGACGTTAAACCCCGCAAATCAATCAATCAACATAAACTGACTCAGTCAGTTCCAGCTGAATTCATGTTCATATTTTAAAAAAATGCAGTGATTGAGATGGTAATCGAAGCACACTTGGCGTATGGTCTCTGAGCAGCCGACGGTGCCGAGCGTGCTGTGGTGAAGAGCGACCGCGTTCGCGTCACCGAGAACGGCTCGCTCCAGCTGGATCCCGTGCTGGTCTCGGACCGGGGCTGGTACACGTGCCAGGCGCACAATGGAGTGCCACCGGACGTACAGCGCCAGGTGGCGCTCAAGGTGAGAGGTGAGTGGTACAGCAGGTGGCCAAACCAAAAAGAACTATCGGTTAAGAAGAAAGTGAAGGAAACGGAGACTGACATGTGGAGAATGGGCATGATTAAGAAGTCCGCACTAGAGGTCTATCGAACTTTTAAGCAGGAAATTGCCAAGGAAAGGATCTATGATAATACTCGGGGTAGTTCTCTACTGTTTGAGGCCAGAACGGGAGTACTGCGAACCAAGACATATCGGGCCAAATACGAAGGGGTAGACACAGTATGCAGTGCGTGTGGAGAGGAAGAAGAAACTGCCGAACACTTGATAATGTTCTGTAAAGGGCTTCACCCTATAGTTCCGGATGATGGCGCAGAGTTTTTCAAAGCGCTGGGGTTTAGGGACCGGGAGGGCAAAATAAACTTTAAGCGGGTAGACTTCACTAGAAGGAGGTTATCTGATTGGTGGCTAAAGTCAAGGCGCGAGTGAAAATTAAACTCTTCACTGCAAAGTACGATTCCTCAAACTCTTCTTTTAAGGAAAAAAAATAAATATAGTTTTTGGTTCATTAGATATTACGGCTTGGTGGCGCTAGCCACCGCCCGATCTAAAGGGTACAGCCATATCCATCCATCCATCCATCGAGTAAGCGGTGGTGGACAACAAAGTGGCACTGTTGTTTGAGAGCTTTTGAAAAAACTCACAGGGTCGCGTCCGTCTCCATACTTGAAGGCTTAATACATCGTCTTTTTTTTTTTCTAAGTCGATGTGTGAAAACTCTCATGCTATCCCCCGAAAGCTTTCTACAACTAATATGATTTGGCATTTCCTTCAAGATCACAGACATTCTAAGCTTTCTACACCTCACATGATTTCGCACCGCCTCCAGGATCAGCATACTTTTGACCAAGCAATGATGCGGTGCGATGACGCAACAATGTGTCGTCACAGTGACGTCATGTTGTTTTCACGAACTCTGGCAATCTTTGGCGCTAAGGTGATGTATCTTTAAAACGAGCAGTGCGAAAAAACGAGGAGGCTTTTGCGCTGCCAATTTGAAATGTACGTAACCAATTTCAACTTACCCAATTGTCAATTTTCTGCGGTACATCATGACGACGTCATACGGTCACGCCATTACGTGGTGCTGATTTTTTTTCTTTTTTTTCATCATTCGTACTGACGCCACCCACGTGAGATGGCGGTCAATATTTGCATCTGATGAGTCGTCTAAGGCTTAGGCCTTAATAAAAGCACGTTTGTAAGTGATCCTAGTTGCCCCTGCCTCCCTATAATCTTCGGCAGCGCCGTAGTTTTGATAGAATATCTTTATCCTGACATTGTATATAAGACAGAGGTAGTATCTATTTGGTGTTAGATAGAGGTAGTATCTATTTGGTGTTACGTTATAGCGCACCACCTAGAAGACGAAGACTGAACCACGCGGACACAAACGAAACTGTGCTTGTGTTCGTGTGGTCCAGTCTTCGTCTTCAAAGCGGTGCACAATAACACGACAGTGAGTATGATATGATCCTATGACCAAGATCAAATGTACGCTATTGAAGTTATTAATTTTGGAGATGTAAGGCTACATTAAGAAGCCAGCGAAGTGCGAGGCACCAGGTCACGAGGATGCTTGGAAATGTACAAAAATGTGCACGTAGAGGGGTCGTCAAAAGTTCCCAAACCACAATCTAATGTGACCATATGGCAGCACGGCCTGAGAACTTTTCACCAACCCTGTATCGCACGTTCTGCTTGACCACTTCTTTTTTCAGGGTAGGTGGTAGGGTAAACTTTCTTCACTATCAAACACTTTCAGTTTAAACATATGGCTACGACGGACCAGTACTTAGTGCTGTCTTCGCGTGTTCTGTTACATCCAGCGCCACCCACGGTCAACGTAAACGCGAAAGTGGTGACAGTTCGTCGAGGGGAGACGGCCACCTTGGTGTGCAACGTCACGGGCGACCAGCCAATCACGGTCACCTGGACCAGGAACGGCAAGAGCGACCCCCTCGTCGAAATGGCCGGGTAAGTATACGCGCCATGCATGAAGCTGCTCGGGGGTCGCTCGCTGGATTCCGTGCCGACCATGCGGTTGTGCCCTCGCGATCTCCGACGTCAGCGTAGCTCTGGCCGACTGGGCTGTCCCTATGTCATCTCCTGACTCCGACGACCTTCGACGACAGTGTAGCTCTGACCTACCGGCCTTCCTCTACGCCATCTCCTGACGCCGACAAGAGCTCTCGCAAGTGGTGCCCCTTCCTCAGACTCCTGTGACAGTGTTTCCATCTTTCCTATCTCTCCTATCCCCTCGATATGTAGTCGCTCTCACGCTTACCTCATCTCTCTTTCTCTCTCTCTACACCTTTATTCCTATCCTTTTAATCCCTCCTAACCCCCATCCCTTGTGAGCTACTGTTGAGCTGTCGCTCCCTGAAGCAGACAGTTACGGGGCTCACTTTTCTCTTCCTTTCTCTCTTAGAACCACTTAGTAGAAACTGCTCATGTGGCACTGAAACGGCCGAAATTGCATGCACAAAAGCGCGCGTCCTTCTGGTCAGCGAGCTACGCTTCGAGCTGCTAGAGTCGAAGGTGCGTGTACATAGTTCTATGGAAACGTCACTAACCATGACAGGTGACTTTCGTTTCGTCGGTCCGACTGCGAAGCATGCTACGCGGCCGCCATGGAAACACATTGCGAAGCCAAATCGAATAGATGAACGAAGGGCGAAAAAAGAAAAACGAGGCGGAGAGACGTGCTGCAGAACGCATTGAAAAAAAAAAACAAAAAAAAACAAGCTCAGTGCTTCCTTTTCTATACGGCGCTTTGATAAACGAAAAGAAGGTGTGCCACGCAAGGACATATATTAGATGGGGGAAAGGTTGAAGCGCAACCATCATAACTACACATGGTTACCAGAGCAAAGGGAATGCGACGTGAAGAAGAAACAAGGGACCACGCAGCCTCTGGTAACGGTGACTCTCGTGTCCTGTATGCGCCTTTTAGCACCTTTCAATTCCATCCTGGTCCTTCAATAACGTAATCACATATATATATATATATATATATATATATATATATATATATATATATATATATATATATATATATATATATATATATATATATATATATATATATATATATATATATATATATATATATATATATATATATATATATTGACAAAATGGTCCTTAGGCTACGGCTTAGAATTTAGTTCCGGTGCGTACCGAAAAACTGGGGGCCCTTAAGCTTCGCCTTTAAGAGTTAAACGCAATAGCGATATTCTGTTCTTGGTGCGTTCTTCAAACGCATGAAATCTTTTCGAACTTGTTGTGCACCCACTACGTGACCTTAAGGGTGCAGTAACGTGTGTGCCTTTTGTAATGAGTGAGTGGCTTTAAACTACGAATTAATTATGATAATGCCATGTTATGAAACCCGATGGCAATGTACGCTCATACCACGCATTATTACGTGAATATTTCTTGCTGCATTGCGAAGCATGTATACAGGACGCGTGTGTTTTTAATGCATGAAAGTTACTTTGATTACATTTACAAGCACAGGAAGTTATTTTCACTATATTCACAAGAAAGAAAAAACGCAAACGAGCCGGGTTTGATCTCCACTCAGACCCACAATTTTTATTATTTATTTTATTTGCATCTTTCTCGTTCTTTCAGTCACGCAAAGATAATGATTTTTTGCGCAATACCAACGACGCCGACGCGGTAATTTCTGCGAACCGAGATATTTAACGGTGTCACGTTAAAATTTACAGTGGATCCTGGCGAGCCGCGCCTCTAAATAAAACTCAAGGGGTCCTTGCGCATTCGCCTATGACGACTTGAAGATGAAAGCCACCTGCTGCTGCTGCTTCTTTTTCTTCTATAGGTCGGCATATTGATCTTCTCCCGCGCTCCTATGAAAGCTTTCTGCGCGTAGCGTGGTTTTGATTGATTGATTGATTGATTGGTTGATTGATTGATTGATTGATTGATTGATTGATTGATATGTGGGGTTTAACGTCCCAAAACCACTATATGATTATGAGAGACGCTGTAGTGGAGGGCTCCGGAAATTTCGACCACCTGGGGTTCTTTAACGTGCACCCGAAGTAGCGTGGTTTCGTATTTCCTGCAAGAATGGTTGCATTTCGAGCTCTCTGCACCTGCACCCTGCTCTGCTCTGCTTTGGCGATCGACCTGTCTTATAAGGTAACCGACGATGTCACGTGATAAGGTCACCAGGCGCCGTTGCGTTATGTACCGATGATGACGTAGCAAGTACTGGCTACATGTGGCGTCATTGCCACGTCGCCCATCGACGCCATCATGCGCCGTCGCGTTATGTACTGTTAAGGTGACGTCATGTTGACGTAACGAGTATTGTCTATAGGTGACGTCATGTTGATGTCACCTATCGGCGTCATCAGGCACCGCCGCGTTGCGTGCCGTCAAAGTGACGTCATGATGACGTAACGAGTAATGACTATGTGTGACGTCATGCTGACGCCGTCATTACTTGGCGATTTTTTTTTTGCATCACTCGTGCTGCCGGAAGTGCCGGAAGTGAATTTTCACGTTTGACGAGGCATCTTAAGTCTCGCGCCTTGACCGGGCCCAAACGGCGTATACTGTCAACTCGCAGGCGCGAGGTGTACCAGGTGCCCTCCGAGGAGTGGGTGGCCTCGACGCTGGTACTCAAGGAAGTGGACGGCATGGCCGCAGCCTCGTACACCTGCACGGCAGCCAACGAGCACGGTGCAGACCAGGCTGTGTTCGCCGTCAACGTTCTCTGTAAGACTGCTTTGCACTTCATCACACTGTTTGTGCAATGTCTTTGTCTTAAATAGAGAGAGAGGAAGGAAAGAAATAGAAATGGAGAAGGCGAGTATGTTAACCACAAATGCTTCCGGTTTGCTGCCCTACGCTGGGGGATAACGGAAATGGGAATAGAGAGATACAAAGAAAGAATGGACTCAAAATAAATTTTCTTTTTTTTCTTTTTTCTCGACTTGCTTTCTAGTATCTGTCTAAAATCTATTTTCGTCTATTTTAGTGTTGTTATTATTACTAATTACTAATGATAGCATGGACACAAAGCATGAGACAGCAATATTGCTGTTTCACGCTTTGTGCAGCGTCTTCTGTAAGAGGCCCTATTGTCAGCAGTATACTTACAACCAAGTTAGTATTCCTAAATTCTGGAATGTGCACGCGGTCGGAAATAAATGAATAAATATGTATTCTTAAATTAATTCTTGCCATCTCGCAGTTCCGCCGCCTACGCCGCACAGCTTGAAGACGACCGAAATCGGCACGCGGTTCGCCCACATTGAGTGGTCGCACTCGAGCAGCAACGTGACCCGCTACGTTGTTCGTCACTGGAAACTCACAGGTGAGAGGTACACACAAAATCGGGGCCCTCGTTCAGTTGGTCACTGGCGTACGCTTTTGCGCGCATCGACAACAGCCAAATGTCTGTGGACACTATTCTGTCAAGTGCCCGAGAGAAGACATTTCAACAGAAGTGTGACAAAAGCTCTGTTGAAATTCCTACGCGACACCGACTTGAACAAGCGACTGTAACAGCAATGTCACACACCGCGAAAGAAAAGACTGGACTATGACTGAGTGTGCGCGCGTGTGCTGCCGAATGTGCTGTGTTTCTCTCTTCCCCCTCTGCTCTCTTTCATCTCCCCCATCCCTCTCCCATGCGCAGGGTAGCAAACCGGCTGCCTATAGGCTGGTTAACCTCCCTGCCTTTCTTTTCCCTCTGTTTTGCTTCCTTCCTTCCTTCGTTCAGTTGGTAGAACGACCTTTCGTAAAGATCAAACTACGTTAATTGAGGTGGTGTTAGTACGCGAGTAAATACGACATCATTATACCTCGTTACAGAAAGTATAGCGATAGGGGACCAGGAACACACGCAATCAACCAATCGATGGGTCAATAAATCAATTATTCATTCGACCGATTTATCAGTTAATTAATCATTCGATCGATCGGTCAATTTAATTCATTGGCATAAATGGAAAAACGCTAGACGTATCACGGTAGTACGTTTACATGAGAAGGCTATAATTTAAGGACTGTGGGAGTGTCCTTTGTCAGAATCGGATAAAGAAAATTTTAGTAAGCACACGAATGAACTGACAATACAAAATATTATATATTATTAAGAAAACACATAGAAAGATTACCAATACAGGCAATGCAAGATGTCGATATATATGCTAAGATATCCCTTGTGCATGACTATATCACCAAAACAGACACAGACTATAAAGGAAAGAAAATGTACCTTATGCCTTCTTCGTCCATGATCTTCTTGCTGTGAAGTCATACTCAAGTAACGTATTACTAACCTGCCCATAACGCCGCTCTCGTACTAAATGATGTCACAAAAGTGAATGCGTTTTCAATCCATATCTAAAACGGCTCGATGACATTTTCAAAATCAACATTTATTTCAAGATTCCTGAAAAAAAAACATTTATCTGCGACGATCGTTCAAGACGTGTTCCTTCGTGGCAGGAGCGACCTTTTCTGAAGTTGTATGATGCCGTTGCACTTATATCTCCTTGCAGGCGTGGACAAGGTTCTGTTCGAGCACACGGTGCCCGGCGCGTTCCATTCGGCGCTGCTGATGAACCTTCGACCCGGGTCTCAGTACAAGGCGTTCGTGGTGGCGGAGAACAGTGTGGGACAGAGTCCACAGTCGAACTCTGTCATATTCAACACGGCCGAAGAAGGTGGGCGCTGCTTCTTGCGTCTACGGGTTTTCGGGCTCTGTGTCTTCGTGTCCTTCTTGTCTCTGTGTCGTCGTTTTGTTCTCGCGCTATAACTATCGTCATGCCATACCAACTAGCCCAAGCTGCCACGCTTCTAAGATTCAGGCTCTCGTCGTTGGCGTAGCCAAGGAGGGAGGGAAAAAACTTGGGGGTCTCGAACCTCCCTCCCCTGAAATGTTTTCAGTTTTACACGAACTAACATACATAGAGTATAGTTACTCCCCCCTCCCCCGGAAAAAATTCTGCCTACGCCACTGGCTCTCGTATGGTATACTCCGGTTCCAACTTAAGGTGCTTGAATCTTATCAATCAATCAATCAATCAATCAGTTTATTATCATGTCATAAAAGGATGTTACAGGGAGTAAAATATACAGACGAGGGTCCCAAAGTACACGACTGCAACAAGACCCTCGGTGATGATTACAGATAATAAAAGCACAAGCAGCTGTTAGAATCGTAGAAACAAAAATATACAAAGCAGAATGAAAACAAAAAGGCATGGAATCAAAAAACAAATAATACAGCATAACACAACACCAAGAAGATAGATCAACAATTTAACAGGTGCTGTTTTAATGAGTTTTTAAATGAAACTAAAGAAACTTTCCTTTTTAGCAAAGTGGGCAAATTATTCCATATTGTGATGGTACAGAATAGAGAAGATGATTTACCATAGTTAGTACGAACCTTAGGAAATAAAAAGTTATTATTAGATCTGGAGGCGGACTTAGCGGGTTCCATTTTCACCTTTTCTTGTCCATCTCTTTCTCTCTCTCTCTCTTTTTTCTATAGCCCCGGAGGCTTCTCCCACCGACGTGGACTGCGAGCCCGTCAATGCGTCAAGTATCGAACTTTTGTGGAAGGTAAGCTGCCGACTTGGTTTTTCGCACTATGCTCATAACTTTGACTAAAGACGGCGGACATCTCAAACGCGTCCACCGCGCCACCTATACCTCGAGCGTGGTTTTCTCGCCACGTTCTTTACTTTTCCGAACTCTGACATGTTTGCCCGAGAGTTCACGAACTGATGATAGCTCGATCTTCAAACCTTAAAAAAGGGGACATTCTAGATTTTAACGCGACATTGTCGTTCCGTTAGTTTATTAGTTTTATATAGCCGAACTTGTTCTGTTAGTTACCGAATCACTATACGTCTACACTAATTTCCGTAAGCATTCCATTCGCTGGTGTAGTTATTGTTTACCTAAAGCTTTATTTCTTTTTCCTATTCTAAAGCAACCTGTATAATGCTGTTTTTGTGGACACACTTGCGTTTGTTGGTAATCTTGAATACGAGGTCCACCTACGGCCTATTGCTATTGAAGCTCCTTCTGTTCGCTTGTCTGGGTGTATTTTTTGTTCTTTAGAGAAGCTCATAGACACCCTTTTCCGATTTGAACATCGAGGGCTGCACAGAAAAAATATCAGTGATGTCATAATAATAATAATAATAATAATAATAATAATAATAATAATAATAATAATAATAATAATAATAATAATAATAATAATAATAATAATAATAATAAATTAAACGACCAATATGAGAAGAAATTTAAAAAACGACAAAATATTGAGTACTCTGCAATTTGCCTCAATAGATCACCAAATGGAAATATACGTACAGCTATGCCCACATTTCATGTTGCAGAGTACCTTAACCATTGTTGTTTTTACTCAGACCTCAATGAGCTTGTTCACAAATTTGCATTTGTTGCGGTACTTTTTTTTGTAATTACCCCATTCAATATCACCATAGGAAATCCCCCTGTCAGTTTCTCTGAATCTTTGGGACCTCCTCCTGTACTATTCTAACCATATAATCCAAGTCTAATTTGTAATAAACTTCATTTAACTTGACTTGGCCTGAGAAACTACGATGTGGTTGTGCAGTCCCCGCCAGAGGAGCAGTGGAACGGTGCGGCCAAGGGCTTCTACGTGGGCCTGAAGCAGGCCGACCACGGCACCCCGTACGTGTACGAGATGGTGCCCTTCGAAAGCGCCACCGACGACGTGCTGCGGCGAGTCTTCACCCGCATGGCACCTGCCACCGTGTACAGCTTCGTGGTCAGGGCATTCAACTCGGCCGGCTCCGGGCCGGCCACCAGGGAGCTGAGGTGCACCACGCTCTCGGGAGGCAAGTGTGGACGCTTCGCTTCACAAACAGCAATTATGTCAATTAGCGCGTGATAATAGAGAGTTTTAGTACTGCGTACGCGGCGGCGTTGCGTACGTAAGGACGCCGCGTTCTGCGTAGTGCGCATGCGCAGACTGCAACGCGCACGCATCGCGTTACGTACGCAGCCGCTACGTACGCTCGCATGAGATGCGTGCGTGCGTACGTATGAGGTGATCGCGCCGCTCTCGAACAAGTTCACGACAGCGCGAGACTTCGTTTTGCAAAATGGCGGCATCGAAGGCAAGCACCGACTGGCTCTGTGGCTTAAAATACGGCCATAATCTGGCTATAACACTTAGATTGGCTAACATTGGCTGTCAACAACACGTGCTTCTATTTTGACCTACCAGATGGCGCAACACGCTTCTCGCTCGTTACGTACGCGGGTACTACGGCGTACTAAAAGCCGATTAGTGGCAAAGGACGCCACGTAACGCAAGGCGCTTGCGTGATGCGTACGCAGCACCATTCCGCAGTACTAAAACTCTCCAATGTGGACATGTGAACACGAATGACTAAACTAGCGTGCCTAGTATCTCCTCCACAAAGCTTCATGACGCGCCACTTATTGGTGATGGGTCCTAAAGATAAAAAGAAAACGTGGCTGACGTCTGCTTTTAGGGATCGGTATAACACGAGAGTGAAACGTGTCCCCGCAGACAGTTGAGTGTTCATTGTGCATTGTTTCGCCACAAGGGTGAAGGAAAGAATGCTACAGTAAGGAACAGTAATGTCGCGCGAAGAACGGCTGTTGGAAAATGAAATGCTGTTGGAAAAATGAAATTTTTCCAATGCTGTTGGAAAAATGAAATGTTATACAAAGTGCTCAGGTGATCACCTCTCACAAGGTTTGGGTGACTTAAAGGTAACGTAAAGCGTGCCACTCTGAAATGAAATAGCAATGATAGTGATTGTTATGAATACAACTGCCTACAACGCCAGACTGCATTCAGTTTTAATGATGTATTGGGCAAAAATCACTTATATTTGCCGCCACTGTCTGAATCGCAGATCCACCTCCGGCTCCAACCCTTTATCTAGTCAAAACGGAGGAGTCCATGGTCACTCTCAGCTGGAAGATACCCAAAACGCACAACGCCACCGTCCTCCGTAAGTGCCTTTGAGACACTTACGGAATGACACCTCCGTTTGACGTCAGACTTTTGACCACGCAACGTTTGAAGCTGCGCCCTTCTTCTGACGTACGCTCGCAGAGTACGTGCTGGAGACGAGACGCGACTACACGGACGAGGTGTCGTTGCAACACTTCCCGTCGACGACGAACGTGGCCACCGTCTCCAACCTGGAGAGCAGCGTCAAGTACAGCTTCAGACTGGCCGCGCACAACCGATACGGGCGCGGCGCCTTCTCCAATCCGATCACCGAGTCGACCAGGCTCAAATGTGAGTGACGGGCGAAGTGAACGTCGTTCATCCACTCACAATAACGTTCGTCGCGGTGGATCAGCGGCTTCTGTGGTCGGCTGCTGACAAGGAGGTCGCGGGTGCGATCCCGGTTGCGGCGGTCGCCATTTAGTTGGAGGCGAAATGGTGAAGGCCCGGGTATTGTGCGACGTCAGTGCGCGTTAAAGAACACCACGTGGTCGAAATTTGCGGAGCCCTCTACTACGGCGTCTCCAACGATCAAATCGTGGTTCTGGAACGCAAAAACTCGAGATATTATTATTATTATTATTATTATTATTATTATTATTATTATTATTATTATTATTATTATTATTATTATTATTATTATTATTATTATTATTATTATTATTATTCGAAATAACGCCCCTTTTGTTATAAGGAGGTTTCAGTGTGTCGTCCACTCTAATTCCTCCCCCCCCCCCCAAAGTTTCTTGTTTTGCTTCAACAAGTCGCAGTTTGTACGCGTTAGCGCATATTCCGCCACATTGAATACTCGCGATATGGATGTATGAAGCTAGGCGATAAAAAGTTGACATCGCATCAAGATGGTGGTCAGCAGTGTAACAACTGCCATGGTCAATAAAAGGGCGAACGGTCACTGCAAATGACATCATCCGCACACCTGGCGCGGTTGTAGCCTAGGTAGGGTTCCCCATAAGGGGGCCAGGGAGGGGGTTCATCACAGCTTTTTACTATATTATGTCAATATAAAGAGCAGATTTTGCGCCCCCCTTTTATATGACTACAGCCCCCCCTCCCCCCCTGCCACCCAGCACCCGCGCAACGTAATATGTGTGGGGCCAGGGACATCCGGGGAGAAATTTGTTCCGGGGCCGGGCTGGCAGGTATGGTCAAGTGTCATTGTGTGCCTTGCATGCAATGGCGAAGGCGAAAACAATTTCGGGGGGGGGGGGGATAGAGGGCACTGGCCTGGTGTGCCACCCCCAGGCTACGCCACTGGCTGGGGCGGATGGCTTCAACGCTGGACGTAACTCTAGGAGTTTGTAGAGGCACGGGATCTGCATCTGGTTGCTGCGGGATAGTGTGGACCGAGCGAAAGTAATTAGACAGTCACTTACGGCAGAAACGATAGAAGGTGCTATCACGCGGAATACGGATTCACTTTTGTTGAACGAGAACCAATTTTTTTTTCTTTTTTGTAGCACTGTACGTCATCGCCCTTTGTGAATTGTCACAACTCATTCTCGCGTGCTTTCTTCCTCTTTCTCCTGTGCGACTAGTCACGAATCGTCTCCTGTCGGGAAACCTCCAGCAACCCGAGAGTCCATTCTACATGCGCAGCTACTTCTTCATCGTCATCATCGCCTGCGTCACTCTGGTCACCCTGTCGGCCGTCATTTCCTGGGCATGCGTAAAGAGGGCCATCATCGCGCAAGGTGAGGCGCTTTCCGATCTCTTACGGCTCGTTTATGTACGTACTCGCGCCGCTTGAAATAATCTCTTAGTGTGTCTGCATGCCAATACCAGTAATGACTGAAGGAGTCGAATCAATCAATCAATGTTTCATTGTAGATTGTCAAGAAGAATATGCACACAAAACTATTTAGATCAATAGCTGTTCCAGCTACAGCATGCGACAAAAAAAGAAAAATTAGGGCCTTTCCTCTATCTCAAAAATTGGGACTAGCGAAGCCTGGCATGTGCGTGCTTGACCTATTATTTCTCAATCTTTATTTCGATAGCAATGCTCAATGCTCTCTTCTAAGTTTTTTCCTTCCTCCTCGCCGAGAATCGGACTTTCCTCCGCGTTCTAAGCAGTGCAACACTTCTGTTATTACAGAGAACAAAGACAGCTATGTACGAAAAAAAACCAAAATACACCCCTGCAAAGCAGCAGCTAAATGTGTCAGCGAGAAGTGATGAGTGACTTCAATAAAAGATCAGTATTGGCCCATCGAACACGGCTGATCGCCGACAAGCCCGTGATTGAGAGAGCATCGGTTGTCAGAAAACGGCTCACAAAAACACGCTTGTTACCATCGCACTTTTGAGGGCCACATATAATTTGTCAGCAGCACCTGTCTTACGTCGCTAATAATAGCGATGTTTAAAAGAAAAAGAGAGGGGGGGAAGTCAGCAGTTCGTTTTTGTAACACACATTTCCCTGAAGCTTGCTTCACTGTAAGACGACTATGCGCACAATAAAGCCAAGATAGTGGGTGGGGGGGGGGGGTGAAATAAAACAAACACACCAGTAAAGACTCTTGAGAATTAAGTGAGGCCTTCCAGCAATTTTGAGTGTTTGTTGACAGTTTGCAGACAGCTCTAGCGCATTTTTTTTTTTGCTTCACAGGTTCTTTTAACTATCAAGTTTGGCTTTGTTTGCACGCTTTTTCGCTTTACAGAAAAGCCAGCTTTGGGTAGCGCGTAGTTTCTCTGGTTGTTAAGGCTGGTGCACACCGGCGACTAGCAGTGGTCGCGCGACCATTCGCGACTGGCGACCAAAATGCGACTGATGTTCACACTGGCAGAGGCTGCATGCGAGCGACCGGAAGTCGCAATACCGGAGAGTCACGTCCGGATCTCGTTATCAGCGAGAACTCTGGAGACCGGCGCCGATCAGCTGATCGCCGCCAGCTGAGTGAGCGGAGCAAATCGAGCGCGCCGCATTTGTTGTTTTTGTCCGTTCTCGCCAGAGCAATGAAAAAACAAACAAAAATCGAGCATCGCTGATTGGTTCCAGCAGCTTTGCGACCGCAGTCGCGCGACTGAAAAATCGGTCAGGCAGCGACCAGCCAAAACAGTCGCTTTGCGACCGTTCGCGACTGTTTGCGACCAGTCGCAAATGGTCGCGCGACCGCTGCTAGTCGCCGGTGTGCACCAGCCTTTAGGGCCACCGTCGGGTCACATACTTCAGTCCAAGTGTCACAATGTGGCCAATGTGATGGGGGTGGTAGTGTATTAAGCGAAGCTTCTGTGACTCCCAAGTTTCGATTTCTGATCCAGCGGTGGCATAGTTCACGAAAAACCTCACGCCGGCGAGCCAGAGGAAGGTCATTCGTTCAGAAATGCAGATGTACACAAACACGACTCTCGAAAGTGCACCGGTCACATGCATATTTGATCTGATGTGGGGGCCAGGCAAGAAAGTGTAATTAAGTCCTGGGCTTCAAGCGGCTCGTCGACACCATCTGTGGCCTGCGGGACTCCAGCACACCAAGCACGCCTGACTTGCGGCGATTGATTTCCGGTCTGAACCACAGGTCCCTCCTAGATTTCATGGAGGAAACGCAGCAGCGCAAATTTGCGTGATACGTTTTGATGCTGTAGGGCAACGCAATAAAAAATAAAGCCTGATTCCGTGCTCTATATATCTTGGTGGAAGAAAATTCAAGCTGGGAGGGGGGGTGGGGCACGCACCCGGCGGAGGCACCAGCATCGGGCAACCAGTGACCAATTACACTGGCTGCCAACTGCTAGCCAATTGAGTCACCCACAATGCAAATTCACAATTCAAAACTTAATAAAACATCCTTGCAACGCCTTCTCTTTAATTTTGCTAGGGTTTTTGCCCGCAATCATACTAAAATCATCGGCATTGTAATTCAGAAAGCCCGAGAAACAGTTCATTATATTGCCACGTTCCATTTCCCAAGCTTTTGTTATCGTCCCAAAACACCACACGATTCTCAGCGCAAACCGCGCCTGCAGTTTTCGAGAGGGTTCCGGACTGTAGTAGATCATTTCGATAAGATCACGCCCACTGTGCGAATGGTACAGATTGTTCTGGAACGTACGCCGCCACCAGCGGTAGTACTAGAACATTCGACGGCGGGAGTATAAATGCCGACGCGCTTCGCCGCTTGTCAGTTGTTGATCGAAGGCCGACGCTGTGTTCGCCACTATCAGTCCAAGACTGCTATCTGTGCAAGACTGCTGCTGTAATTAGACTTTCCCTGTACCGGGCACAGGTTCGCCCAAATAAACAGTTAAATCACAACACGAAGTTTTCTGTCTTTGGCCACGTCACGACCCCGTGACATCTGGTGGAGGTGCTGCTTCGTTCATGTACCGGACGCCCCCGTCAAGCCGTGAACCCAGCCCCCGTCGCGGAGAAGACACCGACGCCAACCAAGAGCAGCGAACGAGCCGCCGACAGCAAGGTCTCCCACCGAAGTACGGCCTTCTACAAGACAAGGCGCGGAAGACCAAGACCATGACCTCGACTGCAGCGACAATGACAACCGGAGCGTCCCAGCCCGCGATCGTCATTCATCAACCCAGGGAACCACCAACGTTCCATGGCTCATCGTTTGAAGACCCGGAAACCTGGCTAGAAACATACCACCGTGTGGCCGCCCTCAACCACTGGGACAACGAAGAAAAGCTCCGTCGTGTGTACTTCTACCTGGAAGACACCGCAAGGACCTGGCTAGAGAATCGGGAGTCCACGCTCCGAACGTGGGATGTCTTCTGCGACGCCTTTCTGCAAACGTTCGCAAGCGTCGCTCGCAAAGAGAGGGCCGCTGCTCTACACGAGACCCGGGTTCAGCTACCAAATGAAAAGGTTGGAATTTTCACAGAGGAGATGACCCGCCTATTCCGTCACGCTGACCCAGACATGCCTGAGGAAAAGAAAGTTCGTTTCCTCATGCGAGGGGTCAAATAGGAGCTCTTCGCGGGACTAATAAGGAATCCACCGAACACCGTCCAAGAATTTGTATCCGAGGCGACGACCATCGAAAAAACGCTGGACATGCGCACCAGACAGTATAATCGTCGCCTGACTCCAGAATGCGCTGCTGCTCAAGCCAGTGACTCCGACGACCTGCGTGAAACGATCCGAGCGATCGTGCGGGAAGAGCTGCGCAAACTGTTGCCTTCGGCGCAGCCTCAAGTGGATTCAATCGCTGACATTGTGCGAGAAGAAGTCCGGCAATCGCTTCGAATTCCCGAAACACCGCCGCCCGAGCCAGAAACTATGAGCTACGCCGCTGCAGTGCGCCACAACGCTCCTCCTCGTCCACGCCAAAACGCCGCCCCGTCACACTTCCGTCGCCAGACGCCACCGCCGCCACCACCCCAACCGACGTCCTACCGTTCCCCAGCGGGCCAGCGCAGCGCATCGAGGAAAACGGACGTTTGGCGTGCACCTGACAACCGCCCGCTCTGCTACCACTGCGGCGAGGCCGGGCACACATACCGCCGTTGCCAGTACCGACAGATGGGACTGCGTGGCTTCGCCGTCAATGCACCGCGTCCGCAGCCAGAAGAACGACCACGTGACATCGCCGACTACCTGACAGGAACTCGGTGGACACCACGAAGCCCTTCGCGTTCGCCGTCGCCCAGCCGCCGCACGTCACCGCACCACCGGCAGTACTCTGGCCCAACGCGGGGCCGGTCTCCTAGCCCGTATCCGGGAAACTAAGGGCAGCAACCGGTGGAGGTGCGGTTGCTGTGCGACGAACTACCGAAGATCCTCCGACGACGACGACGCCGCGACGGAGCTTTCCGAACACAACGCCAGCCAGGCAAAGCCCTGACGGCGAAAGCTCATTTACCGAAGATGGCCTGACGACGCAGCATGGAAGCAGCGGAACAAGCCGACGCAGCCGTGACCCGACGCCACGCCCTAACTGTAATGCGAGACGGCGAACTAGCGACCTCGACGTTCTTATCGACGGCCACAGTGTGACTGCTCTCGTCGATACTGGAGCCGACTATTCTGTCATCAGTGGGTCGTTCGCCGCGAAGTTAAAGAAAGTTAGGACAGCTTGGAAAGGCCCTGAAATCCGCACAGCCGGAGGTCATCTCGTAACGCCTGCAGGAATCTACACAGCGAGAGTCACCATTAACGGCCGTATTTATCCTACAGACTTCGTAGTCCTACAGCGTTGCTCGAGAGATGTCATCCTTGGCATGGACTTCTTATGCCTCCATGGTGCTGTCATCAACCTAAAAACAAAGTCGATAACGTTATCCACAGAAGAAGCACTACCGCCGCGCACGCCGTCAGGACACCATGCCTTGAATGTGCTGGAAGAACAAGTCACCATTCCGCCTCGCTCAAGCGTCATTATTTCAGTCGGCGCTCCTAAATCACCTGACTTGGAAGGCGTCGTTGAAGGCAGTCAGCATCTGTTGGTCACCCGAAATATTTGCGTCGCAAGAGGAATTGCAGAGCTGCGGGGAGGCAAAGCAACGGTTTTGCTCACGAATTTCAGCAATGAGTACAAACATGTGAACAAAGGAACAACGGTCGCATACATCGAAGAAATTGTCGAAGCCACCAGTGCTTTCGCCCTCGCCGATTCTGCGGAACCTGCTCAGAGGAACCAAGCTCCTCCCATAGCTTTCGACGTCAATCCCAGACTTCCGAACGATAAGCAAGAACAGTTCAAGGCCCTGCTCCTGCAATACGAAGATTGCTTTTCGGCGTCATCGAAAATTTGGCAGACCCCAATCACGAAACATCGAATCATAACCGAAGAAAATGCCAGACCACTCCGTCAGAGTCCGTACAAGGTTTCGACGCGAGAACGTGAGGCAATGAAGAGACAAGTTGATGAAATGCTGCGAGATGACATTATCCAGCCGTCCAAGAGTCCGTGGGCATCCCCCGTGGTGTTAGTGAAGAAAAAGGATGGGACCCTACGTTTCTGCGTCGATTATCGCCGCCTGAACAAAATCACAAGGACGTGTATCCTCTCCCACGAATAGACGACGCACTTGATCGGCTCCATAACGCCAAGTACTTCTCGTCAATGGACCTCAAGACTGGCTATTGGCAAATCGAAGTCGACGAAAGAGACCGAGAGAAGACGGCGTTTATAACACCGGACGGCCTCTTCGAGTTTAAGGTGATGCCCTTCGGCCTTTGCTCAGCGCCTGCAACTTTTCAACGCGTTATGGATACAGTACTGGCAGGATTGAAGTGGCAGACTTGCCTTGTGTACTTGGACGACGTCGTCGTGTTTTCCTCGAGTTTCGACGAGCATCTTCGGCGCTTTGAAGCTGTACTTCAAGCCATCAAGACGTCCGGACTCACACTGAAGCCAGAAAAGTGCAGATTTGCGTATGAGGAGCTCTTGTTTCTGGGGCACGTTATCAGCAAGTCTGGAGTTCGTCCCGATTCACGGAAAACAGTCGCTATCGCCGACTTCCCGCCGCCCACTGACAAGAAAGCCGTGCGCCGATTTCTGGGCCTGTGTGCCTATTATAGGCGGTTCGTGAAAAACTTCGCCCGCATCGCCGATCCTCTCACTAACCTTACCAAGGCCTACGTGGAGTTTAAGTGGGAAACGCCGCAGGAACACGCTTTCCAGGAGCTTAAACATCGCCTCCAGACGCCTCCGTTACTTGCCCATTTCGACGAATTCGCCGAGACAGAAATACATACTGACGCAAGCAGCGTAGGTCTTGGCGCCGTTCTTGTGCAGAGGGCTCACGGACTTGAAAGGGTTATTAGTTACGCCAGCCGATCGCTATCCAAAGCAGAAGCAAATTATTCCACAACAGAAAAGGAGTGCCTCGCCATCATCTGGGCTACGTCGAAATTTCGCCCCTACCTCTACGGCAGGCCCTTCAAAGTTGTGAGCGACCACCACGCATTGTGTTGGCTAGCCACCTTGAAGGACCCCTCAGGTCGCCTCGCACGATGGAGCCTGAGACTTCAAGAATATGACATTACTGTCATTTACAAGTCCGGCAAAAAAACACTCCGACGCCGACTGTCTCTCTCGTGCGCCTGTCGACCAACCGCTACCCGACGACCCGGATGACGACTACTTCTTAGGAACGATAACTACCGACGACTTCGCTGAACGACAGAGGGCCGACCCGGAACTTAAGGCCCTAATAGAATACCTCGAAGGCAGGACCGCCGAAGTCCCGAAGATATTCAAGCGCGCACTTGCGTCGTTCTTTCTAGGAAACGGTCTTCTACAAAAGAAAAACTTTTCACCGCTTCGAGCTAAGTACCTTCTTGTGGTGCCTTCAGCTCTGCGACCAGAACTCCTGCAGGCCCTTCACGACGATCCGACGGCAGGGCACCTCGGTGTTTCTCGCACGCTCGCGAGTATACAAGAAAGGTACTACTGGCCACGTCTTACCACCGACGTCACTCGTTATGTGAGAACATGCCGGGACTGTCAGCGACGCAAGACACCGCCGACAAGGCCAGCGGGACTTCTGCAGCCAATTGATCCACCTTGCCGACCTTTCCAGCAGATTGGTATGGACCTACTGGGCCGTTCCCGACGTCGGCTTTCGGAAACAAGTGGATCGTGGTAGCTACCGACTACCTCACCCGCTACGCCGAGACAAAAGCCCTGCCAAAAGGCAGTGCATCCGAAGTAGCTAAATTCTTCGTCGAAAATATCGTCCTACGTCATGGCGCCCCAGAGGTCCTTATCACCGACAGAGGAACGGCATTCACTGCCGACTTAACTCAAGCAATCTTGGCATACAGCCAAACAAACCACCGCCGGACGACAGCGTACCACCCACAGACCAACGGCCTCACCGAGCGGCTTAACAAGACGATCGCCGACATGCTGTCAATGTACGTCGATGTCGAACACAAGACGTGGGACGCCATTCTTCCGTATGTGACCTTCGCATACATCACGGCGGTGCAGGAGACGACGCAGATATCTCCATACAAATTGGTCTACGGAAGGAGCCCGACAACGACGCTCGATGCCATGTTACCCAACGTCACCGACGAAGAAAACCTCGATGTGAGCGAGTACCTTCATCGCGCCGAAGAAGCCCGACAACTTGCGCGGCTCCGTATCAAGAATCAACAGACGACCGACAGCCACCGTTACAACCTTCGACGACGCTTCGTGGAATACCAGCCCGGTGAACGTGTTTGGGTGTGGACGCCGATACGCCGACGTGGACTAAGTGAAAAGCTTCTGCGACGGTACTTCGGACCGTACAGGGTGGTTCGACGTCTCGGCCCACTTGATTACGAGGTTGTCCCCGACGGCATCACGAACTCTCAACGACGCCGATCGCGACCTGAAGTCGTCCATGTCGCACGCCTAAAGCCGTTTCATGCGCGTTAACAAACTGAAACAGTGCTTTTTTTGTATTATTGTTGAATTGTAATTTATTCATTGTACTTTCTTGCATTATTATTTTACCTTCATCTTTAGTTAAAGCATCGAGACGATGCCTTTTTCAGAGGGGGGCAATGCCACGTTCCATTTTCCAAGCTTTTGTTATCGTCCCAAAACACCACACGATTCTCAGCGCAAACCGCGCCTGCAGTTTTCGAGAGGGTTCCGGACTGTAGTAGATCATTTCGATAAGATCACGCCCACTGTGCGAATGGTACAGATTGTTCTGGAACGTACGCCGCCGCCAGCGGTAGTACTAGAACATTCGACGGCGGGAGTATAAATGCCGACGCGCTTCGCCGCTTGTCAGTTGTTGATCGAAGGCCGACGCTGTGTTCGCCACTATCAGTCCAAGACTGCTATCTGTGCAAGACTGCTGCTGTAATTAGACTTTCCCTGTACCGGGCACAGGTTCGCCCAAATAAACAGTTAAATCACAACACGAAGTTTTCTGTCTTTGGCCACGTCACGACCCCGTGACAATATTACGGGAACAGAGAATACAACTGAAGTAATTCATACGCGCCTTAAAGGGGCACTGGCACGGCAATTTTTAGTACTTTTTAAATATCATTATTGTCTTTTATTAATATCATTATTGTCCCGGGTTCGAACCTCCAAATACGACACCGTTCTTTCTTCTACTAGAAAGTCTTTGATTCTGAGATACTAGTATTGAGTTTTCTAATGGTTTCGTGCTAGAAACGGCCGGTTGTCAGCTATCCGTTTCGTCAAACCTTCGTTCGCAGAGCGTCGCAACAAGGCAGCAGCGGCGAGCCTCCGCTGCAGACCGTCCCTGTCCGGTGCGTACAGCCCCCGCTGGGTGCACGACCCCAGGGTGTTCGACGACAACTACGACATGCCCTGGGACACCGCCAACCCGCAACGCGCCGTGAGTATAGACATGTAACGCTTGGCTGATTGGTCTACGCGTGTTCTTCACAGGTTTCAGATCAGCTGCACATATATACCGCGTGTATGTGCAGGGGTCGCATACACATTGCCTGCGGACATTTCGCTGTAGACCCGAACCGCATGTGACTGTCCTGTAGTCCCATACTTTCTTTAACAGCGAAACTGGCAGTAAAACATCCGTTAACAACAACAACAGCAACAAAAAACTCCTAAGCATTTCCCCGAGGGTGAACATGGTTAAGTGCGAATACACGGGGTGATGCTATGAGGGGTATTTATTAATTCGCACTATTATATTTATTAATCACACTATGGTGCCTTTATGGTGTAATGGTTCCTGGGAATCGCAATTTGATCACACGGTGGAGTTTACGTTAACTCACTGGCGAATGCCAACGGATTTTAACTTTACTCCCCCTCACGACCCGCTCTCGACGGGAGACTGAGAGAGAAGGCGGGCGCGCGAGAGAGAGGGTGCGCGCGCAGCTGCAGCGAGCGAGGAGAGCGGAGGAGCGAGCGAAGGGGGAGGGGGACTATCAGCGTCGCGTCCATGGCTTATTCGGTAGAGCGTCGCGCTGCGGCCCGCCAAGTCCTCTTTCTTTTAAAGATAGAGAGAAGACTGCGGACGCCGCCGACGGCGGTGGATGGTTTGGGGTCGCCTATAAAGTGTATTCACACTTAAAAAAACTGCCGCGCCGTTGCCATAGGAACCGTCGCCGCGCCGAGTAGCAGCCGACGAGCCGTCGCCATAGCATCCTCCACAATATATACAAAGCGGTTCAAGGACAGCGATTTCAACACTCTCAGAGTGGCCAGCTTTGCGCGTATTCGGGATCCGCCCGTCACCGTCAATTGACTGCCGCTTCTTCGGCCACGTACGCTGGGTCCAATCGCCGCCGGCGTTGTGGTTCCCGTGCTGCAGCACGACGACGTAGGAACAATCAACCAAGTTCGCTGAGCCAAACTTGACGCGACTTAGCTCGAGGGACGACTTCCTATAGTGGCACATGGTTGCCCAAGGCGACACTGCTCACCGCCAGAATAGAGTATATGTGGCGACGGCATTCGGTTCACAGATCTGCGTTCGGATTCAGGCCATTTGGGAGCTCTGTATCGATATGTTTCGCGAATCGCGACGCCAAGGAACCCTCAGAAATGGTGCGTATGTGAGACACGAGAATAGCCCGCCTTTCATATGACAACATTATTGACGTTTCGTTCAAGCTGCCCACATCGATCCAACCTTCTCCACTGCCCCAGCCCTTCAGTGAGTAAATTTTGTGACTGTGCCCTCCAGGCTGAGCTGAACTTGAAACCCCTATAGTTGTCAAAGTGTAGAGTTGTCGTGCATTCAAAGCGCGAAAGTTAGAGTATAAGAAAGAAATGCAAGACAATTAAGGACAGGTAAAAATTGGCTTTGTCTTTAATTGGGTGGTACTTCACAGTGCTTAGTGTTTACCAGAAGTGTAAAAAGATGTCAGAAACTGCGCGAGTTGGTTAAGGTTCATTTTTAAGGCAGTACCAAAAAAAAAACCGAAAATAGAAGACAAAGATGACCACAGGACAACGCCTTGTCCTCCATTTCTTTCGGTTTGTGATTTGGTCTATCGCACTGCTTCCAAAATGTACCAGAGAAATATATACTCTGTGTTGTTGCTGCAATTGTGCTTACATAACTTGTTACTAAACCACAAGTTCACCAGCGATGGGGTGTCCTGCTGCTTCTTGTGACAGCTAAGTTGATTCCGCTTTGATGTGCATTATTTTCCCTCTATTGACCAAGCGCAGGCAAACAAACCACACGATCGCATTTCTCTACGTAGTCGGACATAACACGTTCGAATTCAAAAATTCGCTAATTCTGCCGCTAACGCTGCCATTTTAACGATTCGCTCGACCTAATTCTGGCTTCCTCCTCTGCTCTTCTTCACTCGCAGGCTTCACCCCACGCCTACACGAACGTGTATAACCCAAGTTCAAGGTCCTGACGTCAGTCGTGACGTCACTGAGCACACCGCCAAAGACTGAAGGAGGGGGGGAGCACCCTTACGTGCCTTGCGAGGCCGCCGTCGCATAGGAGGCGTTCTCGTCGATCGTCGTTTGTACAGAGAGTTGCGACTGATCTCAAAATAAATACAACGCGTTCATACATACGGTGTCGTTGATATGCGCACTCCTAAGTGAGTGCGCTCCATACGTACTTGAAGGTGATGTCGCGTGTCGCCATATATCTCCCATCCCAGGTATAGGGTAGTCAACCAAACTGAAATAAACGAACGGTAAAGGGTGTGGTCAACCAAGCCAAAGCTCGGTTAACTACCCTACACGCCGTCCCCTTCGTTCCTCGCTTTCCCTCTAAGTTATCTCTCTAATAGCCGCATGCAGCACAGAAAAGAGACGAGAAACGTGTTAAAGCTTGACGTTGCCCGGAGTTAAACATGACGATGCCCTGAGTTAAATCGGATCCGATGAAAATTATTATGAACTCCTGCTCTTCTCCCTCCAGTACCATGGCAATTGTCCTCTCTATACTGTCATGTGCAGAGTACCCATTGAGAGACCGATGTATGTATTAGGATCCACTTTTCATACTCTACCGGCACTCGCCATCTACAGGAACTCTACACGCGACATCCGTACCTTCATATTGTTACGTAGGTGTTGGTGCCAGTGTCGACTAGAGGACGCTTCTAGCCATAGAAGAGGTTGAAGTGTCTCGGGCTCAGAACCAATTATGTCGCACTTGCCTAAGGGCGTATGCGATTTCAATTGCACGCGTATCATTTTGGTGGAGGTACTGGGTACGTCTCTACGGAAGTCGGAGCTGGATCTCCTCAGCGGACGTCACATCAGTTCCGCTGCTATGGCTAACGGCAGTGTACCGGCCGCTCAGACACCAGTGCGATACGTGATGCCTCCGCTGGCACACTGGCACCAACACCTACGCAAGTGCCCACAACTCAAAGGGACTATGGTCGTAGAACGTGACAGCCTAACACCAAAGATGTCCGCCTTCCTCTTCCTCTTCAAGAGAAGTCCCGAACGCGTGGCGCACATCAGCCGGGGAGTCCGGCTGGATGCTCGTGCCATCATCGTTGTCTCTGCGAAGCACTAGACGGCGCGCATGCATGTCCCTGGGCATGCGCGTGTGGAGAGGAAGAAGAAACTGCCGAACACTTGATAACGTTTTGTAAAGGGCTTCACTCTATAGTTCAGGATGATGGCGCAGTTTTTCAAAGCACTGGGGTTTAGGTACCGGGAGGGCAAAATAGACTTTAAGCGGGTAGAATTAACTAGAAGGAGGTTATCTGATTGGTGGCTAAAGTCAAGGCACGAGTGAAAATTAAACCCTTCACTGCAAAGTACGAATCCTCAACCTCACTATTAAAAGGAAAAAAAAATATAAATCTAGTTTCTGGTTCATTAAGTATTACGGCTTGGTAGCGCTAGCCACCGCCCGATCTAAAGGGTACATTCATCTATTCATCCATCCATCCATCCATCCATCCATCGGGCGCGCGGTGATAGGCGCGTTGTTTAAATGCAGGCAAGATGTCGCGGTAATATGTTACCATGTTATGAGAACTGAGGTGGGAAAATACCGGCATATATACCAACCATTATGGGAATCTACTTCGTGCGATGCATATGAGAAGGAATTACCTATGCTGCTTAATGTTTTTTTAGGTCAGGCGTTGCGAGCTTGATCGACGGCTTTGTGTAGATTGAGCAGTTGTAGGCATAGCGAGGGCTTACCGGGCACATTAGGTTCACTGGCACCTCAGGGTACTTACCTCACGATCCGACGTAACATCGCTACACACGTTTTAAAGCACGCGCGTTAGTTTTCTCAAAAACGAAGTGAACTCTACGGTGCGATGAGGTTGCGCATCAGGGATTTTACGCATCACGAATGGTGGTTTGCGGAGTCTATAGGCTCGGCCAACGCTTGACCATAGCTTGCTGCATCATATAAGCAGATTAGTATAATGCTTGTTACGTTGTTATCAATGCAGTTAGCCAGCCCTCCCAACGGCAATTCACGTTGCACCCATATTACTACAGCAAATGGTATTTTCTGTAGCGCTTCCTAATAATAATAATAATAATAATAATAATAATAATAAACTGAGCTTTTACGTCCCACAACCACGATATGACTGTGAGAGACGCCTTAGTGGAGGGCTCCGGAAACTATGACCATCTTGTGTTCTTTAACCTGCACTGACATCGCATTGTACACGGACCTCTGCCGTTTCGCCTCTATAGAAATGCGGCCGCCACGGCCGGTATCGAACCGGCCGTGGCGGCCGCATTTCTTGTCCCCAGCAACACGGCTTTGTTGCAAACAGAATGTACTTTGTCCCCAGCAACACGGCTTTGTTGCAAACAGGTCCACTTCAACTGCTGTTTCGATGCTTACGCAATATATTAATTCCGCGCTACATGAAAACAACATAGCAATAGCAGTATTTTTAGACATACGAAAGGCATTTGATGCTATTAGTCATTCCATTTTACTGGAAAAAATGCATTCTTATGGGATAAAAGGTAACTCGCTTGATTTTTTTTCTAGTTATCTATCGGCACGCAAACAAAAGGTAGTCATTGGTGACATCAAATCATCCTACGGTTATATTAAATGCGGGGTGCCACAGGGTTCAGTTTTGGGCCCTATATTGTTCTCTCTTTATATTAATGATGTCCCGCGATCCCTACAAAGGTCAAGGGCACTGATGTACGCGGACGACACTGTTTTAGTTTCACAGGACACTCCTTAGCAGATTTACAAAATGACGTGATGACCGATTTATCGAACATTTCGGAATGGTTTACCAGGAATCAGCTGACTGTTAACTGTACTAAAACAAAGTATATGGTGTTTCACTCTCGTAGGAAACATATTGACGCTGAATCTCTTAACCTAACAATAAACAACACTCCTATTCAACAAGTTCCTTGTTTTAAATATTTAGGCGTCACTTTTGATGAACACTTACACTGGCATGAGCAAGTACAAAGTGTGTGCGCAAAGCTAGCCTATGGCTGCTATTCTCTAATAAAAGCTCGCCAATATTTTCCACAAGCTATTCTCCGCACACTCTACTTTTCATTGTGTCATTGTCACATAGGTTACTGTCTGGAATCGTGGGGTGTGACGTACAACAGTTATCTAAAAACTCTTGAGCGACTTCAAAAGCGTACACTGAAAATCATAAGCCAAGGTGAATCAGTAAGTAATATTTTCCAATCACAACGCATTCTCTCAGTTCCGATGTTGCGTGACTACAAAATTGCTGTTTCAGTAAATAACATAATTAATAGAAATTCACCTTTGCCTGCTGATCTTTTTTCAATTCCTAAACGCAATACGCGACATGCTTCGAATGGTAATTTCAATCTGCCCAAATGTTTTAATGTTTACGGAGAAAGACTGATACAGTTTAGTGGAACAAAAATATGGAACACGGTCCCCCTAGAGATTAAAACGGCACGTAATTTCAGCATGGCATGTAAATCATTTTTTCTGTGGAGTCAAGACATGTAAGCATGTGTGTGTGATTCGATTTTCATTGTATTTTTTTTAATAAGTGCCTATGTATAGAAACTAGCTGCAAGCTAATAAGTATGCATATCTGCAAGAAAAAATGTGTTACTGTGTTATCTGTATCACATGATTGTTTTTTTTTATGTTGTTACCTCAGAGCTGACCTGTACACTTTTTTATGTTGCACATTGTATTGGACCGTTCACTAGCCACTTTAGGCTATCGGTCCAAATAATCCCTGTAATTGCATATATCTATTTATGAAAATAAAGCTTCATTGATTGATTGATTGATTGATTGAACCCACGACCTTACGGTCGGCAGCCGAGCACCTTATATATATAGCCACTGTTCTCTACCGAGGCAGACTTCTGCTGCACTTTCATGTACTGGTGTGAATCTATATGGTTGGACACGCGACTGCTACGCAGAATGCCTGGATTCGATTCCGGCTAGAACCATGACTTCAATATTCCTTACGTCTAAAGAGATTTTCCACGACAAGAACTCCTTGATGCTGATTTGCAAACATTTACAAAGTCTATTCTCGCCACTGCTGGGCTGATATTGACCGAGGGTCGGCAACGTGTGGCCCTCGGCAATATTATGCTGACGTCATCGTGCCGAGGGCCGCATGATATAGCCGAGGGCAGCATAAAAGCCCTCCACCCTGCATTTATCACTTCCTATGTGAAAAAAAAAAAAAGACATGCCAGTTTTAACCTAGAACGGCATTTTCGCTTGTTACCTATGTTTGATTGCAAGATTGTGGCATGCGTGCTGAGGAGAAACGCGATTTCTAATCCAATTTTGTAAATTATCATTGATTCGCTGTATTTTTTTTTTTGCCTGCGATGCCCCCCCCCCCCCTCCCACAAGCCCCTTCCCGATTGGCCGTCCGGCCCCACGCTGTGTTGGCTTAATGCAACTTCGCCCTCTGCCTGAAAAGTTTGGCGACACCTGATACAGACCATCGTGTGTGGCCCATACCCGCAGACTGTGGGCCGTGGCAAGCGGGTATGTGCTACTTGACCTAGAGAAAGGGTTTCATGATGTACCCGACAGGCGTGTCACGATATTTATTTCGCGATGTGTTCCAGTGTGTCACACGCTAACGTCTCCATATGCTAATTTAGGTTTGTACTAAGTAAAAGAGACGACCACGAGAGCATCCAGGTGCAAGTGCATAGATCGACAGATGGAAATGTCTAAGGGCCTTTTGGCCGCCAAGTGCACTTTGGTCGGCAAGGCAACACTCCATAATAAGCAGTTCTAGGCCAAGGCGTCGTATTCTTGTAATTACACGTGTATTGCACGCGACAAAGTTCATGATAATAAAAAGTTAAAAAGAAAAACGAAATCATGAGAGCGCGAGACATTTTCACGAGGGACATGACCGATGGGCGAAGAAGCAGAAGAAGCGAGGAGCTCGAAGCCAGTCGTTTCTGTAAGTGGGATTTACTAACGACATTTCTCGGTCGTTCGTAGTCCGGATTTACAATCGATGTGTTCACGATTATGCAAGGTGTTTCAGCTACCTAGCGCTTATAGTATTACCATGGTCCTTCAATATTTTTCTGGTCATGAAACTCCCGCGTCAC